AGACGGAGTTTCGCTCTTGTTACCCAGGCTGGAGTGCAATGGTGCGATCTCGGCTCACCGCAACCTCCGCCTCCTGGGTTCAGGCAATTCTCCTGCCTCAGCCTCCTGAGTAGCTGGGATTACAGGCACGTGCCACCATGCCCAGCTAATGTTTTGTATTTTTAGTAGAGACGGGGTTTCACCATGTTGACCAGGATGGTCTCGATCTCTTGACCTCGTGATCCACCCGCCTCGGCCTCCCAAAGTGCTGGGATTTTAGGCACGAGCCACTTTGCCCGGCTGATAAAATATATTTGGCATGTAAAACGTGCTGGGGAAAGCAAGCAAGCTGAGAAGGGCGCAGGGCGCATGAGGGGTTCTGTTGTTGAAGGCGGTGGTCAGCGGAGCTGCTGTCAGAGTAAAGGCCTGGAGGAGGTCAGCGAGGAGCCGCGCAGGTGTCAGAAAAGTGCAGGAAGAGGTCCTGGGGTGGAACCGTGCCCGCTTTGTTCAGGGTGCGGGCGGGGTGGAGTGTGGCTGGAGGAGAGTGAGTGAGGGGTGTGTGGGAGGAGACATGAGGACGGGGTGGGGGGCCAGATATTGCTGGGCCTTGGAGGCTGTCGTGGTTACGAGGGCCTCTCTGACTCCCCTTACTCTGGCCTCCTTTCTCCGCCACAGAGCTCCCCGATCCAGGAATCCTCCACCACTCCTGAGCTGCCTTCGGAGACCCAGGAGACCCCAGGCCCCGCCCTGTGCAGGTGACACCCCTCCCCGGCCCCTGCCTACCACCCCTGCTTGCCTGGTTTCCTGTTCCCATCAGTGGCGTCTCTCCACAGCCCTCTGAGGAAGTCACCTCTGACCCTCGAGGATTTCAAGTTCCTGGCGGTGCTGGGCCGGGGTCACTTTGGGAAGGTGAGGTGGAGGGCAGGGAACTAGGGGGCCAAGAGTCCAGACCCCCAGGTCCCTGGCTGGCCGCTAAAACTACCCCCGCCCACTCTGGTTCCAGGTGCTGCTCTCCGAATTCCGGTCCAGCGGGGAGCTGTTCGCCATCAAGGCTTTGAAGAAAGGGGACATTGTGGCCCGAGACGAGGTGGAGAGGTGGGGACCTGCTCTAGTCCTCTGGGGACCTTGTTTCCTCTTTTGGGAAATGAGAGACAAAGCAGTTCTTTCCCTGTGGCTGTAGGGAGAGTGACTCATAGTTGTTACCAACACCAGGCGCGGTGGCTCTCGCCTGTAATCCCAGCATTCTGGGAGGCCAAGGCAGGCAGATCACTTGGGCTCAGAAGTTCAATACCAGGCTGGGCAACGTGACGACACCCCCATCTCTACAAAAACAGAATAATTAGGTAGGCGTGGTGGCACATGCTTGTAGTTCTAGCTACTCATGAGGCTGAGATAGGAGGATGGCCTGAGCCCAGCAGGTGAAGGTTGCAGGGAGCTGAGGTTGCGCCACTACACTCCAGCCTTGGCAGCAGAGTGAGGCCCTGTCTCAAAAGAAAGTCATTAATACCTACCAGCCTAGGCTGGGCGTGGGGGGCTCACATCTGTAATCCCAGCACTTTGGGAAGCCAAGGCGGGTGGATCACGAGGTCAGGAGATCAAGATCAGCCTGGCCAAGATGGTGAAACCCTGTGTCTACCAAAAATACAAAAATTAGCCAGGCACAGTGGCAGGCGCCTGTAATCCCAGCTACTCGGGAGGCTGAGGCAGGAGAATCGCTTGAACCCAGGAGGTGGAGGTTGCAGTGAGCTGAGATCACACCACTGCACTCCAGCCTGACTCGGCCTTCCACACACAGTTGTCAGGTGCTCTCTACAGAATGCCTAAGCCCTCTAAACATTTGGAACAGGCACCGAGACTGTCCTTGGTCTTCCCAGCATCCTTTTGATAATCAGGAACCCAACTCAGAAAGACTGAAACAAGTAAAGAAATTTATTGGTCTGGATCAGAAAAGTTCAGGAGGCTCCTGCCTTCAGGCATGGCTGTATCCAGGTGCTGAGAGGACGTTTCTCAGTTCTGCTTTCCTCTGGGCTTTGCTTGCTGTCCGGGAGTCTGAGGTAAGGGGCAGACATATTCTCTGACCTCTGCCTTCTGCCCTTCCCCAGCCTGATGTGTGAGAAGCGGATCTTGGCAGCAGTGACCAGCGCAGGACACCCCTTTCTGGTGAACCTCTTTGGCTGTTTCCAGACACCGGAGCACGTGTGCTTCGTGATGGAGTACTCGGCTGGCGGGGACCTGATGCTGCACATCCACAGTGACGTGTTCTCCGAGCCCCGTGCCATGTGAGCTGGGTCCCCCAGCCCAGGCCCCTGCCTCCCACCCCAGCATCTGACACCTCAGTTCCCCCGAGAGGCTGGCAGCCTGCTTCTTGCCCCTCCACCCTCAGGCCTTGCCTCCCCTAGCCTCCTGGAGCTTTGGGGAGACTGGGGGGCTTTTGAGGATGTGGGAGCCAGGCAGGTGGCCCCGCCCCGCTCAGCAGCCTCTGTCTCTCTGCAGCTTTTATTCTGCCTGCGTGGTGCTGGGCCTGCAGTTTCTTCATGAACACAAGATCGTCTACAGGTGTGTGCGTGTGTGCACGCATGTGCACACTGCCCGCTGTGGGAACAGGCCGCAGACCCCCTCTCATCCCTCTTTCCACCCCCACAGGGACCTGAAGTTGGACAATTTGCTCCTGGACACTGAGGGCTACGTCAAGATCGCGGACTTTGGTCTCTGCAAGGAGGGTGAGGGCTGGCCTCAGGATTAGACACAGGATGGGGGATGGAATGGGGCCCCTAATGCTACTCGGGGTACCCCCACCCTGACCCTGGGACAGCATGGGCTGTGTGGACGACCCTACATTGGGCTGACTCCTCCGGCCCCCATAACCTCACATGGCCTTGGTGTCCCCAGGGATGGGCTATGGGGACCGGACCAGCACATTCTGTGGGACCCCAGAGTTCCTGGCCCCTGAGGTGCTGACGGACACGTCGTACACGCGGGCCGTGGACTGGTGGGGGCTGGGCGTGCTGCTCTACGAGATGCTGGTTGGCGAGGTGAGGCCCCGCCCCCGTGTGCCTCAGATGCCACTGGAACCTGCGTGTGCCGGGGGGCGGGATCCAAGTCTGCCTCCACCACATGCTGTGTGATTGAGGGCTGCTGTCTCTGCCTCTCTGGCCTGTTTCCACATCTATAAAATGGGACATTTCCCTGCCCGAGTAAACCAGCACCCAAGAGCTGCAGTAGAACCGAGGGCTCAGGCGGGGCTGGGTCTGGAGCAGCCAGAGGAGGGGCCTCATTCAGCCCGGGCCTCCCTCTCCCCAGTCCCCATTCCCAGGGGATGACGAGGAGGAGGTCTTTGACAGCATCGTCAATGACGAGGTTCGCTACCCCCGCTTCCTGTCTGCCGAAGCCATCGGCATCATGAGAAGGGTGAGGATCCCCACTGTGGGGCGGGCCTGGGGAGGGCCTGGAGGGGGACAGACCCTGACACAGTGCTCCTTCCTCCCAGCTGCTGCGGAGGAGCCCAGAGCGGAGGCTGGGATCCAGCGAGAGAGACGCGGAGGATGTGAAGAAACAGCCCTTCTTCAGGGTGAGGTTCCCCCGGGGATCCCGACCACCCAGCCCCCTCCGAGGGCCAGTTCATCGGCCCATGCCCGTTGCTCCCCCAGACTAGTTGCTTCGCCTAAAGGGCCTCTTGCACCTCCAGGGCAACATCATCACCTCCTTTGACACTCTGATTCCCTCCCCTACTTTTGTTCCCCCCAGGGACCCTCCTAATCCCACGTCTCCACTTTTTTCTTTCTTTTTTTTTTTTTTTTTTGAGCCAGGGTCCCACTCTGCCTCCCAGGCTGGAATGCAATCGTGCAATCTCAGCCCACTGCAACCTTTGCCTCCCGGGTTCATGCGGTTCTCCTGCCTCAGCCTCCTGAGTAGTTGGGATTACAGGCGCCCACCACCACGCCTGGCTAATTTTTGTATTTTTAGTAGAGATGGAGTTTCACCATATTGGCCAGACTGATCTCGAACTCCTGATCTCAAGTGATCCACCCACCTTGGCCTCCCAAAGTGCTGGCATGAGCCACCGAGCCCAGCCAGGCCTGGCTAATTTTTGTATTTTTAGTAGAGATGGGGTTTCACCATGTTGGCCAGGCTGGTTTTGAACTCTTGGCCTCAAGTGATCCTTCCACCTCGGCCTCCCAATGTGCTGGGATTACAGGCGTGAGCCGCCATGTCCGGCCTCTACTTTTTCTAATCTGGCTTCTCCACCAGGCTCTGGCAGGCGATCCCTCTTGAGCCCCAGTCTCCCCAACCCACTTTTGCTTTATATGCTGACTCCTCTCCATGGTCCCCCAGCCTCACGACTGGTCCCCACTGCAGCATGCCCCCTCCTCAGCCTCCCAGGCTGACCCTCCCCTCTGCTGCCCTCCCCTGCAGACTCTGGGCTGGGAAGCCCTGTTGGCGCGGCGCCTACCACCGCCCTTTGTGCCCACGCTGTCTGGCCGCACCGACGTCAGCAACTTCGATGAGGAGTTCACTGGGGAGGCCCCCACACTGAGCCCGCCCCGCGACGCAAGGCCCCTCACAGCGGCGGAGCAGGCGGCCTTCCTGGACTTCGACTTCGTGGCCGGAGGCTGCTAGCCCCTTCCCCTGCCCCTGCCCCTGCCCCTGCCCCTGCCCCTGCCCGAGAGCTCCAGTTTTTAAAAAGGCCTTTGGGATTTGCCCGATCCATGAAACCTCCGTGTCTTCTTGTGTGCAGTCGTTGGGGGCGGGGCCGTGCTTGGAGGTGGGGACGTTTGGGAGGCAGGTGGCTGGGTGGTTGCGGGAGTCTCGAGTGATGGGGGTGTCATTTGAAGAGGATCAAGGGACGGTGTGGACTCGGGGCTGTTCGTATGATGGGCAGCGTGGGTAAGCCGAGATAGGAGAGAGGTCGGGATTGTGGGGGGGGCCACCCAGGAGCAACATGGTTTGGGGATAGGGTTTTGGGCCTGTATTGGAAGAGCTCAAAGCCACAGTGAGCAGAATGGTTGCGGAAGTCGGTTAGGGCGGCGGCAAGGGCAGATTCACCCTCTCGCTCAGCTCCCAGGGGAGCCCCAGCCCCCGCGGCCCGCACGGTGCGCTTGCTCCTGCGGCGCCCACGGCCCGGCACCCGCGCGCCGCCGAGAACCGCGCGCCCGGTGTCTCCACGCCCTCTTCTGGCAGGCCCCGGAACGGCACCCGCCCTGGAGGCGCACGCGGCGCCTCTGCAGCGGCCGCAGTGGCTGCGGAAGCCCGGACTGGACACACCACCCACCCTGTCTGGGCTGGCAGAATGGCTTTTTATTCCTCAAAGGCACCTGGGCCCGGCTCAGGGTGGGCTGGCTTAGTCGCTGGACCTCCGGTTGTGCTTAGAAGTGGCTGAGGCCGCTGTGCCGGGAGCTGCGCAGCGAGCTGGCCTCCCATGCGCTCCGGGTCAGGCCCAGCCCTGCGGGGCCGCTCTTGGCCCCGGCCCTCGAGGGCAGGAGGCGAAGCAGTTGGTGCAGCACGGCCTGGCGCAGCAGGATGTACACCCAAGGATCCAGGATCTGGTTCCAGGTGGCAAGGCGCACGGCCAGGAACAGTGGCCGCTGCAGGGAGGTAGAGCTCCAGCCCCCGACAGCCAGCGCCACCAACACCTGCGGGGAAAGCCGGTGTGAGCCGCCGGGCGGGCGCAGGGTGGCGCAGGGATGGTGGGGGCGTGGCTGGAAGCTAAAAGCTTGGGAGGAGGGGCGACCCTTCGCAGGGAGGGTAAATGGGGATCCAGGTGGGAAGGGGATGGGGGGAAAGGGGGGCAAATAAACACCTTCAGTGGCCAGAGGAGTCCCAGGTATCCCGGAAGGAGAAAAAACGAGGGAATTGGGTGAAAGGACTAGGGAATGAAGAGGAGGCTTGTGTGGGTTGGGGTGCACTACAAAGACCCCAGAAAAGAAGAAGAGATGGGGTCCAGGAGGAAGGATGGGAGGGAGGTCAGCTGGAGAAGGCGATGCTGGCTTTTCGGGCAGGTGGGGCCTCCAGGGGTCAGGGTCTTGGTTGGGTCCAGGAAGGAGGCCCCAAGTGTCCTGGGACCAGGAAGGGCAGGAAGGGCCCGGGAGGGAGCTGGAAGGGGGTGGCTCGAGGGGCCAGTGCGCCCCTCACCAGCAGCGGGCTCCAGCAGATGCACGACACCACCATGATACCGACAAGCTGGCCCACCATCTCCACGTCGTGGGCGCGAGCTCTGCGTGCCGAGCCGCGGCTCCGGGAGCTGCCAAAGGCAATAGAGGCCGAAGCGATGGACGAGGCAGACGAGGCGGAGGCCGAGCGGGGCCCGCGCGCCCCCCAGCGACGCCGGCTGTCTGGGCCCGAGGCCTGGGGAGGCCGTCGGGAGTGGCGTCTCCAGCGGGCTCGCAAGAGGGCCAGGCCGCTGAGCGTGTTGCACACCAGCGCGGCAAGGAGCGCGGCCAGGCCGAGGCCGGCGAAGAGGCCGGCGAGCAGCGCCTGGCGCCAGCCGCCCTGGGGACCCAGGCCGATGAAGCACCACGTGCCAGGATACTGCAGCTCGTAGCGGCCCACGCGTGCCAGCGGCAGCAGCGCCACGGCCAAGGCCACCGCGGCCAGCGCGCCCAGCGCCAGGCGCGCGCGGGCGACCGAGACCCGAGCGGCGTGGAGCAGCGGCCGCGTGACGCCCACGCAGCGCTCCACGGCCATGCAGCAGCCCAGCAGCAGCGGGCACAGGCCGAAGAAGACCATGCAGCCGCCTAGGAAGTGGCAGGCCCCACCGGCCGGCGCGCGCCCCGCGGCGTACAGGCGCAGCACCAGCGCGCCCGGGATCACGTGGCCCGCCAGGTCGGTGGCCAGCAGGCTGGCCACGAACAGCAGGAATGTGGCGGCCGAGCGACGGCGTCGCAGGCGGCCCGCGGCCTGCGCCAGCAGCGCCAGCGCCAGCAAGTTGGACACGGCGCCCAGCGTCATGGAGAAGATGGGCAGCGCGGGCGAAGTGCCCGAAGCGCCCGAAGGCTGCAGAGCCGACGCGTTGAGGACCCAGGGAGCCGTGTACGTGGCCGCCTCGCCGGCCAGGCTCAGGTTGAGGGGCCCCAAAGGGCTCATGTCAGGCGCCGGGAGTGCTAGGTAGAGGAGAGGAGGGCAGAGTGAGGCTGGCTGGGCCCGGACAGGGACCACCCCACAATGGCATCTCAGAACATCAGGGCCCGTTTGACTCCATGGCGTTCTCTTGCAGCCCCTCTGCCCATGGCAACTCCAGATGACCCTGGCCACTCCATTTTGAAACCCTCCTCCCTCTCCTCTGCCTCTCACCACCCCATCTCCTGCTCCAGGGCCTCCCTCTGTCCCTTGGCCCCTTCTGTGTCCTTCATGGTTCCCTGCAAGATTCCCCCCAGCCTGGCCTGCGGGTCGTCTCTGCCAGCGCCTCTGGGCCTCACAGATCCCCCTCTGAGCACCACACATCAAATTCCTGGCCTGTGGCCCCATGTGATAGCTCTCACCCATTTCTGCCTCTGGGGCCCACCTGACTTTCCCTCTGTCAGCTTTACTCCAGTCCCTTCCTTGATGACCCAGCCCCATCTCTACCATCATGGGCACATCTCTCTCCACGGCCCCATCTCTGTCCCCACGGCCATGTCCCTATCCCCCATGGACCCATCTCTGCCCCCACCCCGTGGACCGGTCTCTGCTCCACTGCAGTCTCTCTCCAGGCCCTACCCCTATCACCTCTGCCTCACCCTGGATGCCCATGGTTCCACTCCATGTCCCTGCCCCAGAGGCCTCGAGGGGGGCCCCAGGACCATCCACTCTTTGATATCCTGCTGGTAAGGGCTGAAAGGGTGGAAGTGCCCACCAGGCCAGATGGGGAGGATGGCCAGACGGTGAGATAGGGATGCACAGATCGGGGGAAGAGCACAGGGGCACAGGATGGACAGACAGGTGGCCATGGCCCCATCCCTCCCTGCCCTCCTCCTTCCCAACCAGGGACCCTCGTGTGCCCCAACCTGCTTACCCGGCGCTGCCTGGGATGTGGAGTCCCCATTGCCCGCCACTCAGTCCTGCTCCCCACTGCGCCCTGGCTCTCCGGCAGGCCGCTTCCTCCCTCCCTCTTCCTGGGGCGGCTCCTTGGCTCCTCCCGCCGCCCTTGCTGGCCTCCAGGGGCCGCTCCACCCCGCGCACGCCCACTGGGGGCCTGGAGTGGCAGAGACCCCCCCCACCACCCCGGCCTCTGCTCGTGGCAATGGGTGGGGGCCACTCTGGGCCCTGGCTCCCTCCATGAGGAGCGAGGCTCCCTGGAGTCAGTCTGGCTCCCTGTGACCCCCTCCTTCCATCGGGGTGAGAGCAGCCCCCTTCCCCCAGACTCTGGCCTCTTGCCTCATTAATAAATCGGATAAAATCTAAACACTGGAAAATGTGAGCGTCGCCTGGGGAGGGCTGGGGCAGCTGCAGGGGGTGCCACTGCCCCTCCCTGGGGCTTTGGGGTTAGGTGGGGCTAATCCAAATTCTGTGGGGGCAGCAAGGCTCTCTTGCCCTGCCAGAGCCTTCATGGATGTTGGGGTGGGTGGTGGTGGGCAGTGCCCACCAGGGGATCCGCCTACTATTTATACAAGGGCTTAAGCCCAGGCCAGGGCCACAGCGAGTCATATCCTGGAAGGCGAGGGGAGGAGGCTGAAAGGGGGCAGGGGAACCAGGAGGCCTGGGGCCTCAGGGACTCTCCCCAGCGTCTGGCTCCTGCTTTAAGATGGGCTGAGTGACACCTGGGACACACACCTTAAGCCACAAAAACTCACCTCCTGCCCTAAGAAGTAGGGTCACACCTGACGGACACTCGCACAGCGTCACACTCTACGACGTACAGTCCCATCACTTACCACTCAGTTTCATCCTGTTCCAGCTCAGCACAGCCAGGGTGCTGCCACCACATCCCTCCACTCAGGGTCTTATCCCAGCACTGGGACGCACCCAGAGTTACTGCCTCAATCAGCCCCTTCCCTCCACACCCCAAAATGCAGCCCCCCAAAACGACCACCCCCAGCACACACACACACACTCACTCACTGCCAAAACTGACCCTGGTCACACTCCATATGACTTGTAATGACCCCGCAACAATCCCAGACAGGCCCCACCGGCACACTCCATACAGTCGAGGCACAAGAAGTGGCATCCCCCACCCCCCGGACACCAGAGACCTAGCTGGCCACCCCCGCCCTCACCAGAAACAGCAATGCCCTGAGACACACACACCTGCACCTCTAGACACCTCTAGACCTAGCCAGCAGCCCCACCCAAGAAACAGCAACATGCCAAGACATACCCTGACATCTCTGAACACCCCTGGACCTGGCCAGGCACCCCTCCTTGCCCCAGAAACACCACCACCCTAAGACATCCACGCCCACACCCTGGGACACCCCAAGACACAGTTGCTTAGTCACACTCCCCACCACCAGACACTGCCAGTTAAACCTGCAAATCCCATGGAACTCGGAGCCAGGTAACCCCTTACCCACAACACAGATAAAAGTCACAGCCCTCGCTCACCGTATCACGAGCCATCAACACTGACAGACACAGTCCTCCTCAACCCCCACGAGACGCACACAACCACACCCCTTCACCGAAGCCGGCTCCCAGCACAGACACCTGAGAGTCCCACAGGTGCCCAGGGATGCCCCAAGTCATCTCGAGCTGGTGAGGACACCGGCTCCCCCCCTCCACCCCGGGCCTGCAC